CGCGCTGAAAATACTTGGTAGGTTTTAGTGCATGCCCATAGGTTTTACAATGTGATTTATTGTACTGTACGTTTACAGTGGACAATGATGATGATCGCATGCTGGTCATCTTCAATGGCGGCATCGAGATGTGCTTTGAGGCGCTGCACACGTTACATTCCATGCACCACGAGGCCACTGCCTGCCATGTGGCAGGGGATCTCTTGGATCTACTTGGAGAAATGGTGCTCCTGCTGGCGACGCTGCGCATGCGCACAGATAACCCAGCGCAAAAGAAGCAACAGCAGCAGCAACTGGAACAGCAGCTGCAACTGCAGCARCAGCAATTGCTGCAGAAACAGCAGCAATCACAGTGCACCCAAGCGCCGCAGACACCGCAGCAGAAGGAGAAGCAACTGCAGCAGCAAATGCAACAGCATCTGCAATTGCAGCAAATGCAGCTGCAGCAGCAACACTTTCTGCGCCAACAGCATCAGCACTCGGCACTCGCAAAGGCCCTGCCCGATGCAATCAAACGGCTCGCCACGCTTCTCAATACATTTAATTCGCCGGAAATTAGTCGCATGGCGCTCGAGGTGCTCAAGGAGCTGGTGCGCAACACCAGCCTGGAGGCCACCACTATTCTGGCGCCAATTTTGATCAACTGCCATTTATCAGTGGCCAATGCGCCCAATGCAATTGGCCCATTAGGGCCATATTTTCCACGTCGCGGTGCCAAGCAGACGCCCTGGCCGTTAGGTGCTAAGAACTCGCCTCGTCCCCCGAGGCCAATGGTGCAAATGTGCATTGCTCTGTCGGAGTTGACGCCGCGCGGTCTCGACACCGAGTACGATGCTCAAGTGGATGCCTTCTACAGGCCATATCACGACTTCATAGATGTCATGATGCGAATGTGCGTCAACACGGGCACCCTCAACGACACGCTGGTCAAACTTCACTGCCTGGTTGCCATTGAGTCCACACCGTTGCATTTCAACTACTTTCCCAAGTTTTGGGTGGGCATACACAACAACGCCCTGACAAATAAGTGAGTAAACCGAATAATATGGAAATTGCTTAAGTTAATTATGAAATGCAATCTAAATAACATTCACGTTTGCTACAGATATTCAGACTTGCTTGTGAGGAATCCGCTGCTGATAGAGTATCTCCATAATGTGCTAAGAGACGAGCGGAGCATGCTGAAAGATGCATTTGTGCGGGAGTTCCTGGAGCTATACTATCACAAAGTAGCCGCGCAGCTTCCTGTTGCACGGATGATCTACACGATTAACTATGGCATGCACTCCAAGGACGACATCGACGAGCTGTGCGGTGATCTGTTCGCGATAAGAATTATTGCCCAGGCCACTGGTGTGCCGACATCCGTGCGTAAGGAGCTGCGTGGCTCACTGAGAGCACTGCTTAATAAGAGTGAGCGCTATAAGAAGGAAGCGGAGAGAGGTAAGAGGAAAGCTGGACTAAATCAAATTAAATACAAGTTTATAAACATTTATATTTGCAGATCAATTTCCCAACAAGAAACAGAAACGGGAATCTTCCAAAGAAAAAGAAGAACCACATTCCACTGGGCCATCAGAGGCAGATAAAACAGACAATCCGACGGAAAGCACAGAGAAAGCCGCACCAGTGGACAATGCTAGTGCGGCTGATGTGTCTACGGATGCGCCCAGTGAAACGGTTAGCTCAACCGATACTGTTATTAACGTTGCAGAGGCTGTAGCAGAGCCACCGACAGTCGCTGACGCGGGAGACGAGCGTATGAGGAGCCCAGCATCGGAGAACCAAGAAAAGGCATCGGTGCCCTCATCAGATGATGAAACTGAGCTGGAAGATGAATTGGAGCCGACACCCAAACGTAATAAGAAATCAGCCAACAAGAAAACTGCACAGGATCGTCTGAACGAGGATCGCAAGAAGCGGCTGAGCACCTTGCTCACAATGGAGTCTTACATACACAGCATTTTCGCGATCATTAAACGGGAAACGAATGCGTCGAATACTGCGCAAGGCAAGGAGCATGAGGAATTCACAGTAGAGCCATCAACATCGGCTGCTGCGGGAATCTTGCTAAAGCCAAAAGGTGCTACAACACCCCCAGAAATCGAGGACAATGTGACGCAAGGCAAATACAGCATTGAAATGGACACAGAAAGTCCAGTCAAATCGAAGTCAAATGATACGGTTCAGGAGATGGACAAACCCGATGAAACGTCGCCTGCAATTAAATCAGTTGTGAACGCAGTGAACGCTGTTGTTCCCACAGCTGTCGCCGCCCCAGCGACAGTTGTTGCATCCACATCACAGGCAGCGAGTCCCAGTCAAATTTAGTTGTCGTTCAATGATTTGCTCAGCATTTTATTTTTCGGCAAGCCGCTGGACTGATGGTACGCAAGCCGCGGAACAGGTGATGGATAAGCTCTAGAGAACTACAAGTTTTTGGCCAAAGGTCAAAGGCTGTAGGGAAACATTTGAACAACCCAAGGTTGGTGCTGCTTGCTGTCGGCGGGCCTGTGCTCGGGCAAAAGACTTTTGAGCAAATGAATAAATAATACTAAATTAACGTTAATCTAGCAACATATTAAATCGGTAATACAAAATTCAAATAGAAATGTAACTCACGCGGAGACAAACATCCGCACTCCGCACCCTGCACTTCATACCCACATCCACCCCACGCCCACTCACACACATACATGCATGCATTAACACACATACATATATAAATATATACATCCCTAAATACATGCAAACATACATAAATACAAACAGTTAGCTATAATGATAATGACGTTACTATTTTAAGACTTCCACGACCGTAAACTGTCCAGAATACTAAGAACCACATTACTCCCATTAGAAAACGATAGTTAAGAGCAAATACACATATATTCAATACGAGAACCTTGTTATGCACTACAAAGGCCAAAAGCAACAGCATTGTGGCCAACATAGAAACTGAAAAACAAATAAATTGATAACGACATGAAATCAAATGATTATGTGGTATGATGAATTGAGTTGAAACCCGGCTTACGAGACGCTAATATCTATATATGTTTTAGTAAAACCTTTAGGTACGTTTTACGATGCTAATTACGTTTTGGTTTAGTTTCCTATCATATTCACTGTCGCTGCCCCTCCCTCCCTATCCTTGTGTACTATAACTGTACGTTAGACACAAATGAACAGATATAAAATTAATCAACTGTATTTTTTTCATTTTAACAAAAGGATGTGCGACAATTTTCATTGTAAATTGCTGAACGATAAAATATATTTAAATCTTACGTTCTGTATTTCTTGCGAGAGTAAATTTGTAATTACGCACATAAGTCTAGTTAGTAGTCCATGTGAAACATAAAGGACAAAGCTTAAAAACAAACCATCCCTTCAAAGGGGCGCATATAATGTTAGTCTTAAGCCACAGCAAACGATCGAAATCTAAAATATGTAATGTTGATCAACAAATACAGATTCATAAGCAAATAATATAATAAAATCATGCAGCATATAAGTCTAACTATTGTGTAATGAACAATTTGAACTTATTACTGAAAAAACTGACTTCAATCGATTTTTAATTTTGTGTGTTTTAATAATATATATATATTTTTTTTGTATACTCCTCTTTATTTATATATAGAGCGGTTTAAAATCAATATCTTTAATCCTTAATTCAAGTATATTTTCCGAAATATGACTATGTTTTATATATATATATTTATGATATTTTATATCCTCTCGCAGTTACATAGGATTTTGAAGCGACGTCCTATATTTTCGACATAGTTAAGCAATTTCATAAAGTTTTATTTCAGAGCCAAACAGGGATTCTTAAAAGTATTTCATTTTTTAAGAAGACGTTGAACTTAGTTTTATGGTAGTAGCAAAATATATAAAAGAATAATAGATTATCGTTGCCAAATTTGCATAGTAATCTTGAATCCTTTGATTAGAACCTTCTAGAACCAATTACAACTAAATCAATCGGTCTATCTCGATTATTATTATGTATATAGTTTACATGCTGCTTTATACTTTTCGTGAAAACCCCATATGAATTTCATAGCAGTTCGACCTCATTTTCAAATATAATACAAATATTTTGTAGTGAATAGGGCAATTTATTGATTACCTGTTGAATTGCATTCTTAAAGGTATATGGCTCACGCGCATGCGCTGGGATAAATGTTAAACTTCCATACATATATGTGTATTATTGTAGTGACTGTCACTATTCAGTATTTTCTTGCACAGAAACAAAGCAAGTGATTTGTGAGAAAATGCCGTGTATAGGATGTGAAAAGGGTAAAGGAAATACATTAAATAATAAATGTTAACTTTATATTCAACTACTCTATGCAGCATGTAAATGCACCGCGGACAAGTGCTCCGAGGACTGTAAATGCGTAACGCCCGGTAAATGCTGCTGTAACCCCTCGAAAACCGAGCAGACCTCGACCGGTGGGTGCTGCAAGAAGGGGAAGGGCGCTGGCGAGGACAATGGGCCAAAAGAGTGCTGCAAGACTGCCAAGGACTGAGCCAAGAAGGATGAACGAATAATATTTACAAAAAAGAAACCAACTTGATGTATTTTACTTGCGCTTCTCGCTTTTCATAATAATGTAGCTGACAGCGTCGTATCGTATCTTTAAATATAATCGAAACGTAATTGCTATACATTTGTCGCTATAACTAAATTAGCGTATTAAATATAATACCATTACCAAATTAGAGTGTTTTTCAGCAGAGAGATGGCAATTATTGAACCTAGTGGTTTCAATTGAAAGAACAAGTTTTGGATTCATATGGTGAGTACGTTTAACAAACGAGCCAACAACAAAGTGCATTTTATTTGATTTTTACATTTTTCGATGTTTCTACAGCAAAAGGTGCAAGGGCAAGAATAGGATTTAGTACTAGAATTAGAATTAGGACTGCTCACTTTATAGACGAGAGACAGAGACAGAACATGTTGGAAATTAAACAAGTTTAAATTCGTTAGCGATTTCTTTATATTACAGCGTTAAAGATTGGGTCTTCAATTATCTTTTCAATATATGTAGGTAAATATATATGCATATAAAAAACAATTTAAAATTTGATTTTCAACAAATACGAGCCACTTACTATGTATATTATTATATATAATTATATATTACTTCGCGCTGCGCTGAGCCATTAAAGTAGTGTACGTAATATAAAAAACAATATTCCTTTTAGGGCGATTAACTACTAGATTTTTGTTTTTCTATCCATTGTAGGGCTTAAATTTATACAAATCAAACGACGACGACATTTCAAAAATTGATAAACGCGGCTACAAAGGACCTAATTAATTGCGCTTCGATTTACGCTTTTTGCGACTGCTTACGGCGGCTGTGGATGAGTTGGATGAGGCGGAGCAGTGGGTCGTTGGCTGCGGTGGAGTATTCGCTCCACTTATCTTCTCCCAAAGGCTACTCAAGAGGCTGCCGCCACTGTTGTGATAATTGCTTTTCTTGTTTGACTTGCAAGCGACGTTGTTGTTGTTATTGTTGTTAGTCGTTTGTGGCTGACGCGTCCCGGGAGGTGGCTGCGACTTGTGCTGTGCGACTTGGGCGTATTCTCATGACCGCTTCACCTTGCCATTTACAGCACTGGCAGTGGAGCGGCCACCGCTACTACTGCCGCCAATGGCAGCCTCAGTCGCATGCGTGGCCACGTGCTGGATGCCCTTCTCCATGCAGCCTTGATAGATTGGCCGCATGAACTGAAACCGAAACAGAATGCGTTGAATCATTTATGTCTGCGTCTTTTATCAACTCATACTCACATTCTCCCACATAAGCGTTGCAAACTCATCCAGCTTTCCGCCGAAATCGCTCAGCTCGCCGCTATACCTGTGGGTATGGCAAATGGATGGAGAGTTAGTTTGGGAGCTCGCTCACCTGTTGGGCTTTCAGTTGCCGATACCCACCTGATGTATGCCCAGAGCGCCAGCGTCAGCAGCGCCACGCCCATGATTAGATTGCAGAAATTGGCAAACGTGTAGAGGCCAACCAATCCAAAGATGCCGCTGACTATGTACATAATGACGGCGCAGGCAAAGTACACGGCCGGCGTACGCGCTGCCTTGAAGATGTTTTTGCTCTCATTGTGCGCCCGATAGTTCACGAAGACCTCCTCCAGATCTGTGTCCAGCTGTAGGCGAAAGCGCTCCGTGAACTCCTCGCCGCCCATCTTGCGTTTCGTGGCGAACTGGAACAGTGCCTTGTCCTTGATGCGCAAGTGCTCAGTTTCCAGGTGTGCGGTGCTTAGGTAAGGCCGCGTGCCACCACACACTTCCTCCATGAGCTGGTTGTACAGCTCCTTGGCGGCCGCGACGGCAGTCAAGTGGTTCGCTTCGGCAGTGGCCACCAGCATGCTCTTCGGCTCGGGCAGCTCGTTGCCCTTGTAGATGCTCATATACGATTGGAAGTACTGAATGAGATCGCGGGCTCTCACGCGCTGTCCACTGATCTCCTTGTACACCAGATTGTCAGGTGCCAGGAGCATGGGAACCAGTGTTCTCAGACTATTCTTGAATTCGGGCGTTATATCCTTCAGACGGCCGTCGAACTGTGGATTTGTGGCTACATTGAGACCCGGATGTGGCATCAAGAAGCATGCGACCTCGGTGAAGCACGCAGAAATGTGGCGACGCAACGACTGCAGCTCCGGATGCTGCTTGTCGGACACCTCGAGGCGACGCTTAAGTATCTTGTCGCCACCCAGTGCGCCGTACTCCGCCTCATACGGGAAGCTCCAGTCTCGCACCAAGAACTGCAAACGCTGGAATGGCTTCTTACCAGTGTCAGCCAGCGCCAGTCGGCCGTATTCGGTGAACAGCTGCAGATGCTGCAGGTCATCCTCCTGTATGTTTTGTGAGAGATTATATATCTGCACCGAGGACAGCATTGTGCTCAGGGCAAACACTGTCGCACAGTCGCGCACGGTGCTCTGGCTGTCGAAGGCACCCTGTGTGTCCAGCAGAATGACGGCGATCTTGTCGCCATTGGGATAATCGTGCAGGAATATGTCAGACCACATTAGTATGCCGGTGGTATCTCGCTCCGATCCGCCGCGCCATGAGAAACCTGATAGCGGTTCCGTCTCATCGCCCAGCCAGTCCGTGACGTCATGTCGCACGTACTGCAAAACAGCACCACATTAATTAAGCTGCGAGCAAACTAATTATATATCCACCATACCTTTGAGTACATGTAGCGGAGAAAGAAATCGAGCAGAAAGCTCTTGCCCTTACGGAACGCACCCGCCACGGAAACAACGCAGACGTAGCGATCTTTGACCTCTTCTCGCATTAGCACCTCGCTGAGCGCATCCTCGTTCAGCACGAATGTGTGCTCCTCGGATGCATTGATCACCTGCACCGCCGAGCCGCCCATTGCAGTCCTCTCCATGTGTTAGCTGTGTGCGTGTGTGGGTGTGTGTGTGTGCGAGCGCGCGTCTGTGCTATGCAATTAACTATGCTTGGATTTACGATGTTGATTTCAAGTACTGCAAAAAGAAACACAATAATATTATTGAAAGATTTAATAATAGTTGCTTTGTACACGGCAAATCGATGATTTATGTACAGATATTTATATATTTATGTCTGCCTGTATGTTTTTTGTATGTATGTATGTACACCCAACGAAACTTATTCTCTGATCGGATCACAAGCGGTAAGTGAATTGAACTAACGGTTAATTGCGCAAGTTCTATTCAATTGCGTGTGTTGCTCTCTGTCCGTCTGTCCGTCTGACTGTTCGCCTTCCTGACGCTCCGTCTGTGTGTTCATTTGAATTTTGGCATGGCACTGTATGTGTCAGGCCGCCTGCAATTATGAGACGAGGCCAAAAATAAATTCAACTATGCGCTAGTTTGGCTGGCATAAGGTAAATTAATTTGGGTTTTTTTTCTTTTTCTGTTCAGCATGTATTCAGCAAGACATTTTTTTTCTTTTTTTTTTTGTGCTAAGTCGTCACACACAATTCCATTAATATAAATTGCTAATTATTGGTTTCGTAAATGCAGTCATATTGAAATGATTTGCTGACCAAGTCACCCGCCGCTGCTGTTGCTGATGACGTTGACAACTTTTTGTCGCAACGGCAGTGTAAACTTTAATTGAAAACGTAATCAAAACAACGTAATGGCTTCAGGCGACTGTTTCCATATATACCAGCACAGGCATAGTAATAGCAACAATAAATCAGTCATACTTATGCTGGATACGCGAATCTCAACAAAATATAGACAGTGTGAACGCACATGTATGTCCCTTTTACTTGTTGCAATATTTATCAAATTGAGTTAAAAGACGAAAGCGACGTTGCGACAGTCGGCGCCACTGTCAACCAACTGAACTGAGGACGGCACGCAAGTCACCCGCTCGCTGAACAGCGAGCACACTCAGTGAGCTTCACAATGAGAGGAAGAGAGCGCTGTCTTGGTCACTCTCTCTCTCTCTCTCATGGTGCTTGCTCTCTTGTGCTCTCTCTGGCAGCGCAGTCGAATGGGTCAGATCAGCAAAGTGCAGCTGTTGAAATTATTTTGTTTAATTAACAACAACAAACGAAAGCTGCCAAAAGTCGCACGTCCCTTTTGATTTATGATTATGCATTTTTTCTTCTTCTTTTTTTGTATGTCAGAGTTTGGGTTTCGAAAGAATTATGCACTGTTGGCAACGCCGTCTCACTATGTCTTTGATGCTGTCAAAGCTGCGCTCAGAACATTGTGCGCTGCCAGACAGAGACGGCTATGCGATTTGATCGCACGTTCGATTGCTACCAGCACAGTAGCTGTCTCGCTTCGACTAAGCAGGTGTTTAGCATTGTGCGATGTAAACAACGCGAACAAAAAGTAACAGCAACAGTTGCGACGACAGTGACAGTGACAGTGACGCCAGCGTCGACGCTGGCAGCGTGATTAGTCAACTGGAATGGTTGGTTGCTGAGAGTAACAGCAGAAACAACAACAATGGCCAAAGCAAAACGAGGCAAACAGCAGCAGCAGCAGCAGCGGCAGCATTGATAGTTGCGTTCTGAGCAGCGCTTAAAATGCAGGAAAAAAATATTGAACGCGCCAGGGGGAAAGCAATATAAGAGAAATAAGTGCCTAATTTGTTTAAATTAGGCTGCAAAAAGTGTTTAATTAGTTCCAATTATAGTGGCAAACCAGAAGGTCCGCACCAGACGTACACCTGGCCACACGACGTTCCATCACTCGCCAAGCTGAGTGCGCTGCCGCAACATGCATCGTGGACACCGCCCAAACGTTAGCTGGCAGCAGCAGCTTGCATCTGCGTACCTCGTGGCCATTTGCTTGCTGTCCAACTATGTTTGCGTGTCCGCGCAGGACACGCAGGATTTGCTGACTGCGGAGCCCGTCTACTATTATGTGGGCTGCTATACGGCTCGCACGGACCTGCTCAAGGAGTCGGTGTACGCGAAGATGCCGCAAACGTGCATCGAGATCTGTGAGCGCCAGGGACACAGGTACGCGGTGCTGGCTGCCGAGAAGTGCTTCTGTGCCAATCATCTGGAGCCGCAGGAAAAACAGGACGATCAGCTCTGCTACACCCGATGCCTGGCCAATAAGGCGCAGTACTGCGGTGGTGTGGGCGTACATTCGTACTATTCCACAACGCTGCTGCGGCAGCCAGCACCGCATCATCTGCGCGTGGTCAACAGCACCGAGAACAGCATCAGCCTGGCTTGGGATGCATACGAGGCGAAGAAGCTGCTGCTGGCCGGCACCGCAGAGGCGCTCGCGGCCCAAACTCAGGAAGTGGCCAACATTCTAATCAAGTGCCAGATTGTCCAGACCTACTCAACGCTGCCCGCATTCCTGCAACCCGAATTCATAGTGCAGAGCACGGAGACCCGCTTCGAACTGACCGATCTTCATCCGGCAACCCTCTACAACATCAGCGTGCGCGCTATGTGCGTGCAACCGCAGCAAGAGGAAAGCGAGTGCGGCCATGGCTCCCTTATGGCCAGCACTGAGGTCGGCACACCCAGTCCAGCGCCTGCACAGCCCAAGGTGCTAAGCCGCACCAAGGACAGCATCACCGTGGAGCTGGCACCCATAAAGAACGACAACGGACCGGTGACGAAGCTATTGATCATTGTGGAGTTTGTTGACGATGCGCTGAGCCAGCCATTCGATGCACAACTGCTGGGCAGCTGGCAGCTGGCGCAGCAGACAGGAGTTCCGTACTACATAGCCGCCGAGCTGGACTACGACCGGCCGGAGGATAATCGCACCAGGCACTTTGTAGTGGGCGATGGCAAGCGCTACGGGCGCTATCACAATGTGCCCCTGGATCAGATGTCCAATGAGCAGGACAAGTCTGCCCATGTGCATATTAGCTTGGGTGTGGTAAGTAGATACGGGTGATAAGAGCTGAGTAGAGATTATATAAATCCTCTTCAACAGGTGAGCACACTCCGAAACGTCACCAAGACGCTATACACGCGCAGCAGCCATGCACAGCATGCCAGCTCCCTGGATGACTTCAGCTATGCCACCTTTGAAAAGGGTCAATCGTCAGTGGTCGCCCTGGCCGTTACCTGCGTCGTCTTTGGCACCTGCCTGATTCTCAGTCTCATTACCTACTTTTACTTGCGCTACAAGACCTGCCATGCGCGCGGACTGACCGGACGCAGGCGCAACGCCCACGAAATGACGCAGCAGACGCCCATCATCGAGCGGGAGAACAACGGATATTTGGTGGAGGACGAGCTGCCGCCCACGCTGGAGAGCTTCAAGCAGCAGTTTCAGATGACGATCGAGGGCATGGAGAAATTGCCACGTAATTCCCTTCGACTGAATGCTAATGATGTCATTGCTGATGGGCGCTACGGAGAGATTATCACAGGACGACTCAGCGAGGGAGACGCCGTCAAGGATTGTGCACTTCACGTGCTGTCGCTGGACGATCTGTCCGGCGTGTCGCAGGCACAGCTGCTGCGCGAGATGCGGCACTTGAAGCAATTGCGCCGCCACGAACTAATTCTAGATTTCTATGGAATTTCGGCCAGCGCTGACTGGTTCTATCTGATCTTTGAGCTGCAGCGAGTGAGCCTCAAGCGGCGCCTGATCGAGAGCCGCCAGCCAGCACCTGCGCCACGCCTGACAACACTATCGGAGCAACTGGTGCTGCAGTGGATGTACGAGCTGTCCAGCGCCATGTCGTATTTGGGCAGCTGCCAGGTGCATCACCGGCAGCTGAGCGGCTACAGCGTTTACGTATGCGCCGACTCCAAACTCAAGCTGTCCGTCTTTGGACCGCTGCACTACGTGAACAGCAATGGCCAGCAGGTGGATCTTGGCCGGTGGCTGGCGCCCGAGGTGCTGCGACATCAGCACTACACGACCATGTCGGACGTTTGGTCCTTTGCCTGCGTGGCTTGGGAGTGCTGCGCACTGGGCGGCACGCCCTACGCCAACATAGCCGGCAGTCAGCAATTACTGGAGGCAATACGGTCGGGCGTGCGTCCGGCGCAGCCCGCCTATGTCTACGGCGACCTGTTCCAGCTGCTGCTCAACTGCTGGCAGCTGGAGCCCAGCGAGCGCATCGGCTTCGAAGATGTCGCTTTCGGCATACGTCAGCTGATGACATCACCCAGGCACGCACTTTGCTTTGATCGCTCAGCTTCGGATCCGCGGGAGACGCTGCCGTTGTACCTGCCGATGCTTGAGACTATCAACTAGTGTAGCCGGAGCGCAGAAGCAATTATTTATTAATGCAGTAGGGCAAAATAAAAGACAATTGACGAAAGATTAGAATAAATATAACAGACCTATCGACAAGCGTTAGTTGATTGCTCCAAAATGCAGTCTGATAAGAATGTGCTAGCCATGCGTTTAAACCAATCTATAAACCAATATATAAAACGACCAATAAATGTGTGTGTTCTTTGTAAAGTGTTATCAGTCCTTTATCAATAACTGAGCCCGTTAACTTATCAATTAAAATATTAACAAAGCTGAGAAAATTGAGGATAGAGAGTAGAGAAATTTAAACTTCCTACAGCTTTCAAGTGGTGTGACTCAAGTTCCCTACACTGTTCTACAAAATCCGAGCTGTTTTAGTCGATACGAGTATAATTAACGTTATAGAAATGGGAGAAAAAGTTATGTTAACACAAATATATATTTAAGAATTTCTTAAGGAGGTAACGACTCACATCTTTACCAATGGATTTTTTACATACAATTTAATTTGTTTTATATTTCCCACCAACAGTATAGTTACAAAATCTTATTACCTCACTCTTGTGCCGAATTCCCTCTTGTACAGTGTAACAAGTCCTAAGCAAATTGAGAACACAGAAACTGAGAGCCAGGTAGAGAGAGAGAAAGAGCGAACTAGCATAAGGTACTGCGAGTGTGTTGTTGATCTAGGGTGAGCACAAATAAGTATTTGTATATATGTATGTATATAATAAAGTATATGTACATACATACACACATGTGTGTGTATCGCCATACAAAAATTGACGATTAATCAGTTTAAAGGTCGCGCGACTAGGGGGTATGGCGATACTTAACAAAATGTAATTGTTTAATTTTTAATTGGGGGAAAAATAAACCCAGGTTTCTAAATAATATAATTGAGCTAAAAGACTATATAACTTAATACTAATATGTATTATATATATTTTATTTTTTAAAGAACTCTTTCAATGAGTGACCACAAAAGTATTTAAGCAAATTCTTCGTCTTTGCAATTTAGGTGATTCTGCATTAGTCATGGATGCAACGGAGCAGAGTTCCTGCTTAGAACAAATTTACTTTAGAGGTGCACGCACACACACACATACYGAGATGCTGTCTAAATACGTGCAACGTGCAAACATCCAATTGGAAATATTGTGCTAATCTGGCAAGCGCCGTTAGGAACCATGGTCTGCGAACAGCTGATAAGCGAACCAATTGAATAGAAAATGCTATGAAGAGGCTACCCAAAAGACTAAGCACATTTTATATATGGCTAAAGTTTATTAAACGCGTAATGAAGCGAAACGATCCAAAGTAGCAAATTCAGCAAAACAAAACTAAATATACATATGCATACACACACATGTGCATGTGAGTATATACAAGCTTTTATATATGTACATATACAAACAAATGCTTCACCGTTTTAGCGCTCAAACGACTTTTGCACTCGTCGACTCGGAGTCAAGGTGAATGACGTTACCAAACAGGGCAAAGAGTCTACGGCTACGGTTATAGCAAGAGCAAAAACAATTAAAATCATTGGCACACATATTCAGATTTCAATATTTGCATATGTATTGGCATATACAAATTATTAATAAATCAAGCT